TCTGTCCAGAAGTGAGAGTAATGCATTAGTACTGGTGTTTGTAGCACGTTAGCTTAGAGCTGGTAAGGGTTTTAAAAACCCAAAAACTAAAAAGAAAAAAACACTTTGCTTAGTGGGAAAATCTGTATCTGTTGAGTCAGAGCACTTGGTTCCTTAAGTTACGCCAGGCGCCCTGGCAGCGCACGCTGGGGCTGTGGGCACGCTGGGCCGGGCTGGCAGCACCCTGAGCAGCAATTTCTGGTGTGATTGGGGGAAATGCATTGATGAGATGACTTCTGCATTGATTGCTTTGTTTGTTGAGATTCAGAGCAAGCTTGCAAAACATGCAACGTTTTGGTGAGCCGCACTGGTTTGGCGACGTGCTTTTGGAAGGATTGGGAAGAACGTGAGAATTTTCAGCATGAATGTGGATCATGCTGTGTCATCTCAGCTCTGTGCTGTAAAGCTAGAGGATCGTGAGCAATTCTTCCAGTCCCAACAATGTGTCATGAAGAATCCCTTGTGATGATAGCGCACGCTCTGTAACCTCTTAGCTATTGTCTTTTTTCCTTGTGATTTTTCCAAGTGCTGGAAGCAGGATAAGGCCAGGAGAACAGAGCTGGGGGGTGGTTGGTGCTGAAAGCAAGTTTGATGGTCTGGAAGAGCAGTGAGCACTAGGAGTCAGTGTGAAGTTTTGTTCAGAACAGCCATTTTTCAGTTGTTCTGCTCTTCCCAGTGTTTTTCAGATTTAATTCTAATGATATTTCTAAAATGGTCCAACAGCAGCGCATAGCATCTTGTATCTGTAATAGGCTCATGTCTGATCTTCACCCTGAAACTCTGCTCCATTTTCTGCTTCCTATGAAAACCTAAAGCTGAGCTCCCATGCTCGCTAACCAATCCTTTTGTCGTTATCCTGCAGTCCTAGTTTGCTTCAGAGGACTTGGGTAGCAGCTGTTTGTGTGTTTTAAACCCTTACCTAAGGCAAGGGGAGACTGGAAGAATGGGGAATGGAAACTAGTAAAACAAGTTATTTATTGTGTGCTGGGGAGTATAACACTCCCCATGCTCCCTATAACAGCAGTAGCGGATGCACACAGCTGGCTTGGTCCCATCAACCCTGGATTCTCTTCCCACAGCAGCCCAGCACAATCTGCTGGTGTATCTACAGCAGTGTCCAAGACCAGGGCAGCTCGAATGCACACTGGTTCCTTGCACTCAGTGCCACCCCCTGCCCAGTTGGTTTCAGTCCTGTGTGCTGTCATTGCTCGGTGCTGGAGGTATTCTGATCTCTTGTCTAAGAGATGGCTGTTCTGTGCCAAGAATGAAAAAGAATGTTGGTTTTACAGGTTTCTTTACTGAGGGCTGTGTGATGCTGTACAGCGACAGGATGCTGTGCTGCATAAAAGCATGCAGGTACTGGGAACCAGAGAAGAGTTAACCTGCAAATAAGGAACAGGCAGAACCTGTGAGCTCTGTTGCCTCAAAGATGAGAGTCCTAAGTATGTGGAGAAGAGTTTTATGTCTGTGAGTGTGTGTTGGAGCCAGCCCTTCTCCTACCTCGTTGGTGCAGGGCAAACAACTGGTGCAAATGAAGTTGGTGGGTGATGTACGTTGGGTGGTGTTGGTTTATTTTAGAGATGTTAAACGTTAAAGTGGTACAGAGTGTTTCCTAGCATAATTAGTACCTCTCATCTGCTGTGCAGGTAGATGTCTGAACATCAGATAAAAGCCAGTGGGAGCAGTGTGGGCGTTCTGTAGCTGCAGAAAGGAGGCGGATGGATGGTATTCCCCCTCCTGCCCCCATCAGCAAGATCTGTCATAGTGAAACTGGGATGTCCAATTCTCAGTATTCATGCTTTGAAAACGAAGACTGTTTTCACTAGAGTTCCTGTCCATGAGTTACTGAAGCTGGGGTGGGGGGTGGTCAAGATTACCTGGGAGGGTGTTCCTTTCTGCAGAGGATGTGGAGCCATGTGGGGCTGTGTTCGAAGAGGTGACAACTGAGAAGCAACCTCTGACATCGTAGGGAGTCAAAAAGAGTTAGTTCTTCTCCCTAGGGCAGAAATATCTACCTGATTCTTACACATACGTGGACAAATTGGAGTGGTGAGCGCACAAAGTTATCAGTAAACAGAACTTAAGCTTTGGGAGGCAAAATATACATCTGCTTTCCACTTTCTTCTTGTGATACTTTGCAATTCCATACAGAATTGGCTTTAGTTCTCAGCAGTTAGTTTCTTTCTTACCTTATTTGATGTCACTGCCACCCCCCGTGCTGTGTGTGAAATGTGAATGCTTGCATTAAAGATGTTGTGGTATCTAAAATCAGGTTAAGGCAGCGTGGCTGGGTTGCAGTACACACATGTTGCATGTTCAGAACTTTGTCATGTGTGACCTGTGTTTTGATATTGCTTTCTTGTGTGATAAATGTAGTGGCTTTTTTGTTCTGCTTGCTTTTTGCTAAAGCATTTATAGGATGTCATTTCCAGCCTCTTGCAATCGAAATGTTTTTCTCTTGCTTCCCCTTTGTCTTGAGGGTCTCTTTAAATTACTGATCCTGAATCAAATCTCCTTTTGCTGCTCAGTTCTATTGCTTTTGCTGCTCAGCTTGTCTAGGTTTTGGTTGAGGTAAATAAAAGCTTATTCTTGCTAGGTTTTTGGCCTTGACATTTGCCTGAATTGTAGGCAGTGTAGGGCTGCCTGCTGACAGGAGGAGCTTTTTGACCTCACCTGCTTTGCGAAGCTGCTGAGATGCTCCCTAAGCCGTATGGTGAAACAGAGCAGGGTGTAAATTTGTCTCCAAACTAAGCCACCACAGAGCTGTAGCTGCTTGTCAGGTATGCTGCTTTTTCCCCAGCATGATTTGCTTACAGAGGGTGGCACAGTGCAGCTGACAGTGACAGCACTCCGGACCTCAGGGCTGCATAGGATGGAGTCCAGAATTTGCACTTGAAAATGCAGTCATTTGGTCTCCTACCTCGACACCTCTTGTTGGCACAAGCAAGCAGGTTTTTGCTTACAGTACTGCTGCTGCGTTTCCTTTTTTTCTTTTTTTTTCTTTTTTTTTTTATCCAGCTGTCTTTGAAAAGTTGTTTGGTGTGCACAGGAAGGCTAAAATGACCTTGTGTAAACCACCAAAGGACAGCATAGAAGTGTAGTGCCAAGGTGATGACTGCTCAGATTGCTATGAATTTTATGCCCAACATTTATTAAGTAGGGATGGAATATTGAAGGTAGTGGGAGTTTGTTTAGAATTGCTTCGTGTACAGCTAAAATAACTGATGTTTAGTTCTGACTTAAAGCTTACTGACCTGTAGAGGACATGTAGTTCTTGTAGGTTTGTTTGTGTTTGGTCCTCTTAACATTTGGATGTCTGACGGCTGTTTTTTCTCTTTCTTTTTAATTGCTCCTTACCATTTCAGCAATAGTGCTCCATAACACAGTGCTTTTCTTTTTCCCTCAAAGTGGAATTACTGGGCGTATTTTGAGTTTAGGGAGGATTATTATTTAATCACTTTAAAGTGCTTTGTTGAACTCGTAATGCGTATGCTCCATGTTATAAACTTGACTCTTCATTTTGCCATGAGAATGATTCTGCTGCGTAAATGGAGAGGAGAAAATACAGCTTCTTGGCCTCGAGCTTCTGTCCTCAGAGTTTGTGTTTAATTATATACATTGAGCAGACTATTTCTTGCAAATCCATTTAACAGAAGACCTTCTTGTCATTAAGTTTGGTCTTTCTAATTAAAACAAACAGATCACAACAAAACCAAAACAAAGCATATCCTTATTTTGAGGTTAAATTGGAGAATGTAGCATGTTAACTAATCTTTATTTAAAACTAAGTGTGAAATTAGGAAATGTTGGATTTGCTGCCCTTGAACCTGGCTTTTCCCATGAGGCACAACTCATTGTGTAGCTGCTGTTACCAGACAGGATCATTGAGGGATTCACTCACAGTTTTTTGTGGTTGCTCACTTTGAGCAGTTTCCTCCCAGGTTTTGGGTGGAGAAGCACTCCCTGTTGGTAGAGAGCTCGTTCTGAACAACAGAGCAAGTGATTTGAAGCATTGGAATGGCTGGTTAGGGTGTAACGTGTGTTCTGATGGCTCACATAACATTTGTGGTGTGATGCGTGTAGACGCAGCATGCGGTGCTGTGCTGCAGCATTTTTAGGAGGTGGCTCTGAGGATGCCTCATACGGAGCAGCTCTGGAGGTTTGGAATCCTCAGTGCTCTTTGAGCTGAGCTACTCAAAGCATTCACCTTCACATCCTTGCCATGAGAGCCCTTTGGGCAGGGAGAGCAGCAGGTGAGCAGACCCAGACCGTGGCATCTCTGGGAGTTTTCCTGATGCTTCAGTTCCTGCGCTTTGTTAGTTGTGCATTTTTGTTAATTTATTAGTTTTACTTATGTTACTTTCTTGTTCTGAAGGGAAGAAGATCTAGCACAGGCCTGAGAATTCAGCAGAGACAGTGATCTTCTCATCTCCTCCCTTTTTATTCTGTTCTTAAATTGGTTTATGACTCCTAGCTTGTTGTCTTTTTGCCATCTACCCAATCCATAGCATGTTCTAGAAATTAGCAGTGGGATGTAACTGTTCAAAAAAAACAGGAAAATCCTGTCCTTTTAGGCTCTTGCACAACATGGAGTAGAGAGCAGTGGTTCCTGCTGAGCCTGGTGCACCAGGGAGGAGATAACCTGGGAGCAGCAGCAGCGGGGCAGTAGCAGTCCTTGTGGGAGTCTTTTCTTGTACTCTTGATTTCTTGGAGGAAGAATGAAAAGAAGCTGGCAGTATCACATTGTATATTTCCATATGTTTTATATCAGGTTCTGCAGCTGTGTGTTAGGTAAATGTAGCATGTAAGTGATGCATCATATTGATTAATGAGGAATACAGTCTTTTTTTGCTTTTTTTTTGTTTTTGTTAGGAAGGGGGATTAATGACAACTCGCAGTTGATTCAAGCTTGTTGCAAAACCAAGACTTAAAAAACTTTTCTTTGTTGTTTTATCTAACAGGCTGGATGGAAAGAAAATCATGCAACGTTTATGAATGAACTGAAAAATCTGCAGGCGTCAGGACTGACAACCCTTGGTCAGGCACTCAGATCATCTTTTGACTTGTTAAATCTCAATAGATTAGTGTCTGGAATAGACAACTATGGACAGGTAACAAATCTGTCTCTAGTCTTCCTTTTTCTCTGTGTGCTTCTAAACTATGATAGGGAGGGGTTTTGATGGTTTAAGTATATCTTTGTGGGGTTTTTTTTCCCTATTTTTCAATATTCTACTGGATAATTATATGTTAAAACTTGACAGATCTGATTTTCTTTCTTACTGCATGTTCTGATCATACCATGAGATACCATGATAATATCTTTTTTTTTTTTCTGGTGGAACTTCAAAGCAGTAGTATAAATAACTCAATCTGTAGTGGGCAGTTGCTGCTTTAGAACATGTACACTGGATGGCAGCAAATTTTATTTTCAGTTTTATTTTATCAGTAGTTACCATTCTTTCTCCTTTCTCACATTTGGAAGATTCAGTTAAAAATACTCAGTTTTTGCCCCACTGTCATCGTGCAATGATGACTTCACTGAGTTATTATGAATTTATGTCATGCTTCTGTGGAATAGAAAAGTTTGAAGTTATTACTGGAAGAAAAGGACGAGTAATTCTAAAAATGTGTTTAGTGAGTGTCTGTGCACATGCAGTTTGTAAGTAGCTCTGCATGGCTCCATGCCTGCTGGAAGAGAACTTCTGGTTTGATGAATCGTTCATCTTATTGCTTATTTCACGATGACAAAAATATTAGTCTGCAACTGAATGTCCTGTGCTTTTGTTTCTAGGGAAGGAATCCATTTTTTCTTGAGCCATCTATTTTGATTACCATCACAGATGGAAACAAACTGACGAACACGGCTGGAGTTCAGGAGGAGGTAAGCTGACATTAAATTCTTTCGAGTTATGATCTTACAAGTTGGTGCTGTGTTGAGGTGAATATTTCTTGTGCTTTTATTGCTGTAAAAAGTGCTTCTGTTTCATCAGCTTGTTCTACATAGCAAGGAAGCTGGATATGCTGTCATTGCTCAGCCCTCAATTTCATAGCCCATGCGGATTTCCAGACTGTAACTTCAGATAAACTAGTGCATAGAAGAGAAATGGGGTCCTTTACAGAGGAATAGGTGTTACGTTTTCAGATGGCTTGTCAAATATTGAAAACTTTCTTAAATCTTTCTTTACCAGCTTCATCTTCCTTTGAATTCTCCTTTGCCTGGAAGTGAACTAACCAAAGAACCATTTCGTTGGGATCAAAGACTGTTTGCTCTAGTGCTGCGTTTGCCAGGAGCTGCATCTGTTGAACCAGAGCAGCTTGGGAGTGTGCCTACTGATGAATCTGCTATCACACAGATGTGCGAAGTTACAGGAGGTACCTGGATATTAGTTTGCTCTGATTTACATTTGGCATTTGCCTTAAAACATGTATTGGATTCATTTTTGCTTTAGCTTTTCTCTCACTCAGAATTACTCAGTGTCTGCCCGAGTCTTTGTGGTTCTCTTTGAGCTTAGTTTCCTGCAGCATGGGAGAACTTTCTTTAAAGTCACGTTCCAGTTTCAGATGTACTGGATGTGGGAGTGTTTTCTCAGTGCACCAGTGCAGGAAGGATTGAAAATTTCTTAGATTGTCCTTCCAGGGGTTGGCTCTGCTCACTCATGAGGTTGTTATTTACAAGCATGAATGTTGAGTTGTGAGGAAGAGGTGTTACTTAATGGGATGTTAATTCCGCTGAACGGCTGATAAACTAATATTGAACCTTAAAATAATTAATTTTGGACTTTGTTCTTCAAGATCTTCCTCGGAATTTTTGTTAAATTGGTTCTTGACAAAATGTTGCATGGAAGGGGAGGTTTGGGTTTGTGTTGGTGTTGGTTAGATTTCAGTAGACAAATTGTACAGACTTTGTAAAATCAGAATTTGTTGAGGGCCTTGTAAACTTGGTCTTATTCCAGCCTGATTTAGCTTTAATGGCTTTTCTTATAAAGAATTAAAATCTGAGCTGTTTTTTTTTCTTTGGTTTTATTGCACTTGTAAAGCATTTTGCATCAGTTTCTACTAAGCTTGCTGCTGTTATGTTTGATAAAGCTGAAAGCCTTGGCAGTGTGACTTCATATAACAAAATATCTTCCTTAATTTACACAGGGAGAATAGGAAAGCTTTGAGTGATCTTAATGTTCTCTTGTAGGTCGTTCTTACTGTGTTCGGACACAAAGAATGTTGAACCAGTGTTTAGAATCTCTAGTTCAAAAAGTCCAAAGTGGAGTTGTTATTAACTTTGAAAAGTCAGGACCAGATCCAGCTCCTATTGGAGAAGGTACAGTAACTGTTTGTTCTACTAATGTTTTTTAAAAAGTGTTCTGTGTGCATGCAAATGTCCTTAAGTGTCTTCAGTTTCCTGCTAACTTTTCACCACTGTGTACAGGATTTCTCAGAGGCCTAATATAATCTAAAAAAAAGTGATTAAACTGTAAAGTTTCAGTGAGCGAGCTCTGGTTTCTCTTTAAATATTCCAGATCACAGTGGATGCACTTTTTGTAACTTTTCAGTTGTGTTTGTTTAGTCTTGTCTTTGCTATATTGTTCCCAGTATTAGTTTGGTCCTTGGTGGGTTGAACAAGTGCTGTATGTTTCTATGGATTTGAGTGGATAACCTTCCTGCTTGCCAGCTCTCCTGTCACTTTCTTAACCTCTTTTTTTTGGAGGCTGAAGGAAGCAACAGAGGGAAGTGAGTATTTAATGAAAGTGCTAAATATTGAATTAGTGCTGTCAAAATTTGTGTATAAATGAAATAAATTCAGGAGTGTTTGAGTCATACTGTTAACTGATCACAAACTCTTGAATGTTCCTTGCTGCACGTGAAAAACTCTGTGCTAAGAACAAGGAATTGATCTGCCAGCTGCAAGTGAAGTGCACAACCAAATAGGAAAATGCATCCTTAACATGGAACAGGCTTTCAGCTTTGCAGAATTCATGGCTGGAAAGGAGAGAGCTGTGACCAGTTTGTACTTAGAAAATAAGGGTGTTGCTGGAATGTCAGAAGCACGATAGCTTTTAGGATCCCCAGGGCATCCCAGCATAGCCTGTTTTTAACTTTGTTTTCATTACTTGTTTTTAATCACTTTTTTCTTGCTTTATACATATTTTTTTTTCTCCTTTTGCTTAATAAATATCATTTGATTGGAAGTATGCTCAAGGCTTTCCTGTAGGGCCATGCAGGACAGCACCTCAGCAGATTCTTGGGTCTCTGTTGGCTCGAATGCTCTCCTGTGGCAAAACAGCTGGTGAAATTGTTTTTTTTTCCTTTTGTCACATTTTAAGTGGTGATGTACTGTGAATACATATGCATGAAGATGCTTATGAGAACTTCTGCCTTTACATAAATTGAGGAAGTCCTCAACTAGAGAGAAATGTGGTGTTCACCAAAGCTGTAGGGTCACTGTGTATATAGTGCAGAGGAGCAAAAAGTGCTGGCAGACTGAAAGGCATGGTGTGATTGGCCAGCTGTCGAAAGCAGGTCAGTTTAGTAAACTCAAATAATGCTAAGATTCGTTAGAAAGGTGATTTCTTTTGTGCTGTATGAATTGGAGAGCAGCCTGAAAAACTGTTCTGAGATGCTGTGCTGCTTCAAAGCTCTTTGCAGTCAGAGTGGAGGGAACTCTGTGCTAGTATGCTACAGCAGGCTGGCAGATAACACTGCTTTTTCCAGGAAGTGGAGATGAAGTGTTCTCTGACTGCTTTCTCATTAAGAATGTGACAAAAGCTGCTCCTGCCAGATGCATTTGACTTTTCCATGAAACTTTTCTCCACTTTCAGTTTCCATGAGTGGCAACGTCAGTCAGTGAGCTTTGCATCCCATGGAGAAAGACTGTAAATGCAAACTGTCTGTCTTTACAGGTGCAGCAGAACTAAAATGAAAGACTTGCTATTGCTTATCAGATGTGTGTCCGAGTACTGATCTTAGACAAATAGCATTTTTCATAACATGAAAGTGCCCTGCTGCACTAATTACCTAATTGTTATGCCACTGGTGTGGAAGGATAGATGGACAGATGTTACCAATTTTTTCTCAGATTATGCTGTTTTACACTTAATGTAGCATTTTTCAACCACTGATGTAAAGATCTGTGTCTTTGAAAGAGTTGTGATGAAGCACCTTATTGGTTACTAATACAGAAATTTTGCTGGGAGACAAATGCATGCCATGTAGCTTTTTATTTTCTTTTTTTGTTGTTATTTTGCTTTGTTTAAATTTTAGATGGACTTGTTGATTCATCCAGGCCCATCAATTCATTTGCTTCTCAACCGTGGCATAGTTGTCATAAACTCATTTATGTACGGCCTAACCCCAAAACTGGTGTTCCTGTTGGGCATTGGCCAATCCCAGAATCTTTTTGGCCTGATCAGAATTCACCAACACTGGTAAGTCAATAAGAACTGAAAACAAGGATTCTGCACCTAATTAAACGGATTGAAAATGAATACAATTTTTCTCTTACATTCTCTGTTTGCTAACGTGATCTGACTTCACTTTAAAAGGGTAGTTAACATTCTTTTTAACACAGAACAATGTCATGGAGATAATCTATGCTGTTACTTTCTATTTGAAAGTTTTACTTCTATATATAGTTGGATACTTTGGTAAAGCTTTGAAAAGATTGTAGAATTGATCTACAAATTACCTTATACACCACAGCTTTTAGTTGGAAGCTTTGTAAAATGCATTTTGGGTGGAACAGGGAGCATTTGTTGTTGATGAGGATAGATTGACCTGTTTATGTTTTTTCTGGTTAGCAGTACTTCATGTACGACCTCTTCTTTCTCTACCAGAAAGAATTAAACTGAAATAGAAAAGCTGCCCATTCAAAAAATAAGATAAAAACAGCATTAACTTTACCCTTTCCCACTAGGATGATCATGCATTTGGCTTGCCTTACTAGCCTCTCTTGTTAGGCATGATCTGTATCTGCACTTTGCAAGTGGGCTCAGTGCTGTTTCCTCCCCACCACCCGTGACTCAAGGGGAAAAGAAATCAAACTCAGCAGGGAATATCTTGAGAATATTGTTTGTGAAGTGAGTGCTTTATAACCTGTAATTCCGTGAGAACAGCAAGCTGGAAAGCGGAATTGGAAGTTTTCTTCAAACATAACTGTGATAGGGGTTGAACAGCATGGGCACTTCTAAGTATCAAGATAAATGGTTGGATGTTAACCATATTTCTCTCTTGTTGGGGAGCAACGTCTGTGTGTTTAAACTGGAGAAATGCTTAATATTCTGTTGTAGGAGCATGTCTCCTTTTTGAAGGAAACTGGAGCAGGAGTGTTCAAGCTGAAAAGATAGTGAAATGTATACTTACGAATTTTTTCTTTCCCAAAGAATTAATTTGCTTTTAACTGTAAGTACCAGATAACAGATATGTTGTATTTCTCCCTTCCTTTTAGCCTCCACGCACAGCTCACCCTGTTGTGAGGTTCTCCTGTGTTGATTGTGAGCCAATGGTAATAGACAAGCTTCCTTTTGACAAGTATGAGCTTGAACCTTCACCCTTAACGCAATACATCTTGGAACGAAAGTCTCCCCATACCTGCTGGCAGGTATTTGCCCTTTATTTGATTCTAGAAACATAATGAGTACCCTAAAGTGACTGTACTTTAGTTTTTGTGTAGGCCTGGAGGTTTTGGGGCCTGGTGTCAGAGTGCACTTGATTGGAAGAAGCTTGTCAAGGTTTCTGTTACTTTCTTTCTAATGAATTATGAAAAGCTGGAGTGAATGTTTCCTCTACAGGTTTTGTAATCTCATTTGATTCTGTTTCTAGGTCCCTTTCATTTTGCTGAGAAATGTGTCCCTCAAGCTCCATTCTTGGCTATCTTGCAATTCTCTATAGGCTTTCATTTGCTTTTGGGAAAACCTGGTGCTCGTTTGCATCGTAGTTTCAGATGTTGATTAGGTAATGATTTCCACTAAGTAGTTGAAACTGCTGGTGGGAGTTGAATGGAAGCTGTTGATTTTAACCAGATTGGCCTTGAAAAGGCCAAAGTTCTGTTGTTGAAATCATTTGTGATTTGGGTAAGTGACTTGTTCCTGTATTCTCTAGACAGTAAGGCTTGTAATTCTCTTCTAAACTGTGTCCTTGAAAGGGCTATCTGAATACATCCAAGAGGAGCTTGATGAGTAATATCATAGCTGGAAGGGTGGGACTGGAAGTGTCTTTGTTCTGCTTTTGTTGCCCTAAAACGTGTTACAACTTCACTTAAAGTGTAACATTTTGGAAGTTGGCTTTAATTGAAGAAGTTGAAGTTAATTTTAACAAACTTATTTCAAATGTGGGGTTAAAGCACTCCCAGGTATTTTACTTGCCAAAGTCATCCAGGCAATCTTTTTTGACTAAAACCTTTCTGCTCTGTTTCAAAATCTACTTTTTCTTCTGCCTGATCAACAGACCCGTCTGTGCTTGGGAAATGTGCTCACTGTAGAAGGAACCCCGTTAGGCCCTTAGGCCACCTCCACTCCCAGTAAAGTTCCTGGAAAAGAAATTGAGAAAAAGATTTCCTTTGGAACTGCAAGATTGGATTTTTCTTAGGCAAATTATTCTTGCGCTGTGGATTATTTTGAATGTCCCAATACGTACCGTCTTCATCCTTTAAAAAATATCTTTGCAAGTATTGCTTTTTCAGGATTAGTGTTCATGTGTACTTCAAAGAAGTCAACATTAAGAAAATGGAACTATGACATAATTGAAAGTTGAATATCGAACATTTGTGTTTGTGTGGGCTTGCTACGTTAGTCTAAAAAGTTTCAGGTTTCTTTTTATCAGTGTTGTAAATTTTAGTCATCCTTTTCTATGAGTCATTTCAAGTGTGTTGTGTTTAAGATGTCTTTAATAATGGTCCCTTAACCTGTTTTAAATAATCTCCCTGCTCAAATTTTACACCTTGAAGAGCATTTCCATACTGGCTGGCATACACTAAATGTTGCATGTCTGCGTTTTGTAGCTGGAGAGTTTACGTGCATGCTCGTCTTGATGCGTGCCACCTTCAACTTGGCTGTTCTTGATAATGGTTGTCTCATTGCAGTTGAATTCAGACTTCTTTAAATGCTGTATGGTTTGCATTCTTTGTGTTCCTGTAATGCAGTGATATCTTTTCTTTTTCTTCAGGTATTTGTGAGTGGCAGTGGAAAATACAGCGAGCTTGGCCATCCGTTTGGGTATTTAAAAGCAAGCACTACTTTAACCTGTGTAAACCTCTTTGTGATGCCTTACAACTATCCTGTTTTGCTCCCATTGTTAGGTAGGTAACACGCTTACATTGGACTGCCGATGCAGCTACTTGAGAATAAGAACAAATAATTGAGAAGTGGTTAGTGTTCTGCCTTAGCTTGAGACGTTATAAAGTAACGGAGATTGGAGAGTAGAGAATGTTGCAAACTCTTTAATATTAAATTTGGGAGGAGAGGATTTTCATACCCCCTCTCCCTTTTTTTCTCTCCAGCAGAGGAGGAGAGCTACCTGCTTCCAGTGCATGTTTGATGCTGTTCACCTCCTAGACACGTAGCCTCTTCCTTAACCTGGAGTAAGCTTCAACCTCCATTCTTTTCCCTCATTTAGGGTATGGTGTATCCAGGTTTTTCAGTTGCTCTAGTAGCAGCTCATTTTTTATTTTTTCTGGAGGATCAGATGCAGTGTTATGGGTGTTGGGAAGAGGGAATTCCCTGATGCTGCTTAGAGCTGTAAGAAAGAATAGAGCAGTGAAACAGCCTACACTTCTTCCCTGCCCAAAGGACCAATGTTTTTCACTCTCACAATGAACTTCCTTTCTACAAGAGAGATGATATGAAAAGGTGCTGTGTGAGTAACTGCCATTACCAATTGTGACTGCTGGGGTTTTGGCATAAGGATAATGGCAGAAAGTTTGTTACTAAGCTTTTTAGTTACAGATATAGGATACTTTAATTCTTTTTTTTTTCTTTTTTTTTTTTTTTTTGTGGGTATATGTAATGATACAAAATAACAGTGGAAATCTAAGAAAGTTAACACAGGATTGATTCTTAGTATCTTACACAAGATTGTTGCATTTGGTTCTGGAAAACAACTTAGCAATGCTTTTTCCTAATTGATCTTAATGAAAAAGAAGAGAGATCTGTGCTTGTTGATCAGGTGAATTTGATGATAATGATTCTTGTAGCCTAGCAGCTGTCCCAGAATGTGGAAGCAGGAGGCTTCAAGATTAATTTAGTGTTCTCTGTACGCTGGTGGCTGCTGAGTTACTGCTGTTGGTCCACTCACTGAAAAGTCATCAATGATACCAGAAGAATTTCCCTGCTTGTTAAGTTCAGATCTTGTTCCAGGTTGTTGTTCATCCTTAGTCTCCAAGGCATGATGGAATTTATGTTCATGGTGGTCCATGATGGAAGGATGTAAATAGTATCACGTTCTGTAGGTTTGGTTATTTATGTCTGTTTCTGCAAGGGTGGGTTTTTAGTACGTTCAGCCTGAGGAACACTTCAGAAGGCAGAACGTTTCGCAGAAGGATGCTGAGGTACTTCAGTGCTCAGTGTGTTGGCTAGCAGGTTACAGAAATTCCCTGTTGAAAGATTGGTTTTGATCACCAAATTCCTAAAGTGAAGGTGAGGGAACAGACGTGGATCGGAGCAGAGGTGAGGTGCTGTGTTGCACAAGGTGTTTTGTGACTGATCTCACTCATGTTAGTGGGAGGTCATGTCTGCCCATAGAGGGCTGCAGAAGCATCAGAAAGCTCAGGGAGTCAACATGGAGTGGTGCTGTACTTGTCCAGGTGGAATCTAATGTGGGTGGTGATGTTTTCTAATGTTTTTACTTTGGGTTATGTGGTGTAAGCTGTCACGACTGGACTGTTGTCAGATGAACTGCTTTGATAATTAGGTTCCAGCTGAACTACTAAAGTTGGATTGCTTGTTGACCATTTTGTCTATCTTTCCCTCTTTTTAAACTATTCACTGAGTTTGAAAGTGCATTGAGCACCCTTATGTGGCGCTGGATATAAAAGATGTGTATTGATATCTTGTTTGTCTTGATCTGGTGGTTCTCTGTGTTGCTGTAGGGTGGATAAAGGACTTTTGGAGCACGACTTATACTAACTGATATGTATGTAGTTGTACCTGTTCTCTTGGAATTGTTACAGCTTGTGGTCCATTCCTAGTGGTTACTAAATGCCATCTTCCCAACAGTCCACTGCTTTTGGCTTTCTCTGAGCTTAGGAGAAGTTAAAAGAATTTTATGTTGATTTCTGGACTATGTGCAGTAGTATCTGAAAATCAGTAGGTTGGATTAAAACTGCTTTATGAAAATATTATTTAATATTTAATATTGTTGTAGTAATCATTATAATATTATAACAGTATTATCCAAAGGATTTGGATTTGATCTGTGAAAGATAGTTAGCTGAGTTTTTGTTTCCTTACTTACATAAATGATGGGGTGCAGCCCAGTGCACAGTGGAGAGAGTACATTTCGAGTGCCTGTGTTGTAACCTGCTGACAGTGCATGTCTCAAACTCTTGCAATAGAGGCAGGTAAGATACTGGTGATCTCCCTGAAACTTGTGGCCAAGTTTACTGCTGTGACATTCTTCCTTTTAGAAGAAACTCATGCTGTGGGGGAGGTTCTCACTGCAGATAAGACAAGTCTTTGCTGAAGCTCTGCTTAGATTTGAGAACTTACTCAGACAGCAAATATTGTATGCAGTTGAACCAGAGCATGTTATGAACATCTGTACTGTTTAAGAGTGGCTGTGCTGTCAAACTTCAGGGATTATATACTGGAACTACCTGCACAGAGGAAGACATGGGACAGCAGTAAAGCACTGATAAGGAGTTCAAGGTTAAAGCTGTTACAAGCAACTCATAGGCTTTAAGCTATTAGAACGTGCTATAACACTGAACGCTTTACAGGATTTCTAATGTTTTTCATTTTCAGTTTTGGGAGAGAGGTATAGTTAACTTCTGCCATAAAGAGCTAATGGGTTTCTAAGACACGAATGGATATTGCTTTGTATTTGCCATATATTGTGATACTGTCACAGGCTTCTTAGGATAATGGTTCTAAGCATGTGGTACATTGGGATTTTAAGCGGTGTTCTGATTTAGCCTATCAAACTCCACCCCCTTCCTTCAGGCCTGGAAAGAGAACAGCTAGAACATCTGTAGAGTGTTTCTGATACGCGGTACAAAATTCGTTTAGATTAGAAAATCCCTGTAATTAAGTATGGTTTGACTATGAGAAGTTGGAAAGTTGTATCTTAACATCTGTTCCATTTGTGCAGAACACTATGCAAGTCAAATTTTCTTCTCCAAATACATCTTCCTGAAAGCTCCATCTGGAGAAAACAATTTCCTTGCTGCATCTGTCTTTTTCACACCCTTCTCTGTGCAACTCTGTCACCTGCAGCTCATTCCAGTTAATTTTTGGACATCCCTTTCTTTAGTCCTGTCTTTACTTCCACTAGCTTCACTTTGCCAATGTTAACCTACTGTTTCCCTACTAAAAAGAAACTTGATCTCAGTTGGTAATATACAATTTCTCATGATTAATTGCAGGATACTGTGTTCACCTCTGTTTAGAGATCACTGTTAAGATTTATGGCATGTGCAGCAAATGGTTACATGCCTTAGATCAGTGATCTTTAAACGCAGCATGCACATCTCTAGTGCAAGCAAGGCATTTGTAACATGGTGTCCAAAGGAAATAATCCATCTAGTTGCCCCTCTCTTAAAGGGCAGCAGTTTTTGTAGCTAATTAGACTCTCATCTACATGTGAGACAGAGTTTGCTGACCTAGCGTGAGCTGGCAGTGATGCTGAAGGTACTCCACTCCCCCTTCTCTTAGAGGGGTTTGGTTTAATCAGAAACAGGGAGTCCCTGATGATGCAAGAGAGAGACAAGGGAGGTGAAACTCAGCAGGTGAATCTGTTGCACCTTCTGTGTTACCAGTAGTTGTGCACAGTATTTTAAGTCTGGCATGTCTTGTAAGTTTGTCTGTAATGAGAAATTGTTCTGGACTGTCTACCAAAGCTAGGATCGGAGTTCCGAAATCCTTCATACTTAAGGTTAAGAACAGTTTCTGTGGGGAAGGCCCATTGGGAGATGGGAGGAGGGAGAAGAAAAGCTGGGTGGGGGAGAACTTGGCAGTTGAATCTGTGATAATGCTAGTGGTCTGGGACCATATAAACAAAACCTTCTTTTGTTGTTTTCCTTCTTGCAGATGACTTGTTTAAGGTTCACAAACTTAAGCCAAATCTGAAGTGGAGACAGGCTTTTGACAACTACTTAAAAACAATGCCTCCTTACTACATACTGGTATGTTCCTTTTCTCATTTTGTGCTCCTGGGTATAATAATGGCTTATGTGACCAGAATCCTGTGCACCATACCTCTTCCTAGTAAATTTTGTTGACGTAATTACAGTGAAATTTTAGGTATTAAACACTTTGTTTTGCAGAGGTATGTAGATCAGGTCAAACATTTTTAAAATAAATCAATTTCTTGCAATATTGAGTATTAGTAACAATATCAATGTAATTGAATGCATTTTCAGATCACTGTATATAAATGAGCTTTGATCTAATGTACTATAGATTGCAACCAAATTTGGCATTGTTTTTCTAACTTGGTAAGGAAAGTGCAGATTTGTTTGTTCATTAATGTAACTGCTAGATCTGATAACTGCTGATACTGAGATACTGGCTGGGCCAGATAAAGGGTGGTGGGAGGAACCATGTCACCTTTTATACGTAGCTTGGACAATGCACCTCAATACGGACTTGCATCATCCCGGCTATTCTGGTACTGAGCCTCTGTGGAAATGGCACCATGCCGTGTGGTGTCTTGGTAATGTGGCATAATGTCCATTGCAAGCTAGTTAGACTACCAAACTCATGTCACCTGTTATCTGAATAGACTTGAATTTTAGTTGCCAAAAGTGGAAAAGCTAGAGCACTAATCCATGTGCCTTAGCTTCCTGTAATTGATCTTATACAATTTTTGTTTAAAGACTTACTCTCTTACTATTGTGTATTTTGTTTTCCTTATAGCCATTAAAGAAAGCCCTAAGGATGATGGGAGCTCCAAATCTGATATCAGATAATTTAGATTGTGGACTTAGTTACAGTGTTATCTCTTACCTTAAAAAACTCAGCCAACAGGTAGTATTGATAAAACCTTTGCAATTAGAAGTGCGTTGATTATTTAGTTTGTGATAATCTTATTATAACACAGTTAATCCCTGTGGGAGTTCATATGGGTGTTCAGCACACACTGTAATCGAGGATTGGGTGAGCGTTTCCACCACAAACACGGATGAACTCAGAGTGACTCTGTAGCCAGTGACTGTGCCTTCTGTAAGTGGTGGAGGGGAGTGAGGAGGCCTCCTCAGCTGCATTTTAAGTGTCTGCTAGACCTTTGCATTCCAAAGATTATCACTAATTGGATTTATGACTGCTCTTGCATTATTCATCAGAGCTGAAGTCAGAGGCTTGCTCTCAGTTCCACATTTATTCCATGGATGCCTTAGCAGTGTGTACATTCCAAACAGTGGACATGCCCGTCCATGGCGAGTAAGATCATAATTAACATTTTATATCTGAGCTTCCTGTTTCCTTCAGGTCAGATCCATTATGTGTGTTGTGTCACCTGACGAAAAATAGTCTTATGGATCTTTCTCTTTTTGTCAGTAATGCCCTTTTGGGTGTAACTGTCTGAAAGCCATGCCTCCTTAGCACGAATGGTTCTTGCAACAGTAGTTTAATGTCTAGAAGTCAGTTGCATAGCAGTGCAACCCTTAGAAATCACAAAGAAAAGATCCTCCGCCTTAAAGAATGCACAAAATATGTTCCAAAAGCCTCTGAATGACCGAGCATCTATTGGGCATAAAATGTGTTATTTTGCTAATGTAATGACACACAAATTCTATTATTAATCTGCAATATGGAGTTGGAATGGTTTGAAATGACTACTGTGGTTTTCACAGACGTTGTCAGGACATGAAACAGTTTAAATGTGTTGCATGCATTATAGGCTCCTATATAGGGCTAAGCAATTCCTGAACTCTGATGTGTTTCATCTGTCCTTAAAATTCAGAGTTTCCCATAAACAGTGAAACAAATCCTGCAGAGGATGAGATCTGGGGGAAGTGGGTTGAGATCACCATGCTTAGTACAGTACAGTCATCTGTAGCTGTAATAAGAAAACTTTGTTGATTGGAGGACTTACATGTTTTCAGAAACTTAACATGAAGCAAATACCTGTAGGTTTAACTACTGTTCTCCCTTATCTTGATGCAAGCCTACTACAAAGCTTAGTTATTAGGTTGTATCAAAATGAAATCTGAAATACTGTTTTGAACAGAACTTGACATTAACCTGAGGCATCCCACCTCCAGATAGTTTTTTTGTTTTTCCCTTTTAAAAGTGATTTTTCAGGAGCACAAAAAGTCACAGACTTGCAGCAAAATCAGGGACATTCAGAACCACCTACTGGCTTGTAAATTTAGATAAACTGGCTAAATATTTTTTTTCTCTATGCTAGCGCAGTAGGAGTTTATTCTAAACCAGATCTAATATGTGTCCTCCAGTATATCCCTGGGTGTAGGTAGTTCTCCCATTTGTTGAGTGGTTGGGAACCAAATTGTAGTTTTATTCTGTTGATGTTGTATACTGGAAGTCTGCAATGCTTGCTCATTCTTTAACTCATGATGTGATTCCATTTTAGACAAAAATAGAGTCGGAACGGATAATAGGTTCAGTGGGTAAGAAAGTTCCACAAGAAATTGGAATAAAAGTGAAAAATCATTCCAGTGGCCTCTCCTTGGTGCACAGTAGGGATTTTAAGCAACTGCTTCAAGGTATCACTGGGGAATCTCCTCTGAGACTGGCGGAAATGAATGTTAAAGAATTTGCTGGCTTCCACATAGGACTCTTAAACAAGGTAAACAGCTCGGTGCTCTGAATGATGAAGCAGTTGGTTTGTTTGAAATGAGTAATTTTTATGGTCTTCACATAGGAGAAGGAATTGAGGACTTTTGCTGAATTTTGAAAAATGCATCATTGACATAAGTAGTGACTAGAGGAAATGCAATTTTTTGCCCATGCTTTTGGGACATAATTTGAAAATCCCAGTCTTAAGCAAAGATTACTGTGTTGGAAGTGACAATCTCTGCACAAGGCAGCTAGTGTTGTGAGTCCAGAAATGCATGCTATTAGTTTTGCTAAAACTGAAAGCACTGTTGAAAAAAAAATTGAGTCTGTCGTATCTGATGATGAAGATCTGAAATTGCTTTAGAATAATGTTTTTTAGTAGTTGATGTTATTACAGTTCATAGAGAAATTCCTCTGTGCGTGAGCACTGATGGGTTAACTGAAGGTTATTTGTTTTACTGTAAAACTAGGATTTGAAGCCACAGGCATTCAGGAATGCATACGATATTCCTCGGCGCAGCCTTCTAGATCAGCTAACCAGGATGAGAACCAATCTTCTGAAAACACACAGGCACATAGTGGGGCAGGATGAAGGTATGCTGCCACTGTTACTCATTAACAGTTTGGAAGAGAGCAAAACAATTTAATTGACTGAAGTGGAACTTTCTGTCCTGCATGTGGGAAGGAAGTGGACCTTGCATCTTTTATTGAGTCAATCATTATCTTTTGCTAGACTCTGAAAGGGAAAGAATGAAACATTTGCCTTCTGGCGGGAAATATGTTGTGCTTGCTTTGAGTTTTAAAAAGCAATGTTGTGGAAGAAATTTCCCATGCAATAAATTGCAGTAAGCCTGTTTGTATATAAAGAGGGAGACATGTTTCACTTCACCCTTGTTAGTTAAGTGCTGGTGGTCTAAATTTGCAGTTTAAAATAAGAGATTGAACTTGCTTATTTTTCGTTCTTTGGCCAGTTAAACTTAACTCTTACAAACCTTGTTTCTGAAATTGTAGTCTTGTACTTTTCTACTTCTTAAATATTGATGCTCGCAGTTGAAGTGTGTGAGGCTTTTACTGCCTTAGTTTTAAGGTCGACTACATTAAGATGTCTTGTTGTGCTGCAGACTGCCTTCACAGTGTTCCTGTTGCTCAAATGGGGAATTACCAGGAGTACTTGAAAATGATGCCTTCACCCCTTCGAGAGATTGATCCAGATCAACCAAAAAGGCTTCATACATTTGGCAATCCATTCAAGCAGGATAAGAAGGTAGGATGAATCCGTTATCTGCTGTATTGTTATTTGAAAGCCACATGCATTGTCGCAGAGGGAATTAATCTAGGAATTGATAAAGCAATATATGTGTTTTCTTACTTGTTTTATATACATATATATGTATTTTTTTTTCAGGGTATGATGATAGATGAAGCAGATGAATTTGTTGCTGGGCCTCAGAATAAGATAAAGCGTCCTGGAGAGCCAAATACTCCAGCATCTCTGAAGAGAAGGCGTAGCATGTCACCACTGTTGAGAAGGCCACAGTCACCACCAGTTGTAACAAATCATGTTGGTGGGAAAGGGCCGCCGTGTGCTTCTGGATCCCTGGCACATGTGAACCTCAAAGGTGTACCGACAAATAAAGGTGTGTTGAGTTGTAGTACAAATCTGAAGTGGAAAGTCTATGCAAAATAGATTAAAAAAAAACCAAACCAGCAAACTCTCTGTGATTTCTAGGCTAATAGGCTAATTTTAATGATGATTAAGATAGGATTTCTTTTCTTGTAGCTAAGCAGGCTATTCTTGGAGTTAATGAAGTCCTGAATGAACAATAATTTGATGAAATATTTTTAAAAAGTTCAGAAACCTTTCGCCAAGGTGGTTTGGAGTTAGCAAGCCTTTCATTTTAGCTTTTAGTCCTCATTTGTGTACTCTGCAGTGAGGAAAGGAGAGGTCAGGAAAGAAAGTAAAAACAAATACAGTTATGTTTACATACCTATTGCAGCAGAGTCAAGAGAATACTCTGAGTTGTTGAACTAGGGGAGGGAATACTTGAACTTCTTTACTGTCAGAGTGACGGAGCACTGGCTGCCCTGGGAAGTTGTGGAGTCTCCTCTGGAGACATTCAAGACCCATCTGGTCGCTGAGCAGCGTCAGCTCTGGGGTTGGACTCTGTCATCTCCAGAGCTCCCTTCCACCCCTACAGTTCTGTGATTCTGTGATTTTTAGTTTACTCAGAAGTCATAGCACTGCAGTAGGAATTCAGAAAACGATGTCTTTGTGACAGTTCCATCAGATGGTTGCTATCCTAAGGGATATTTTCATTTGATTGCCTTGATTATTGGATAAAACTTCTGAAGAGAATTACTCAGCACTCTGATCGTGACACAGTACTTTAAATGAGAAGGGATGCAGAGTAACTTCCTTTTTTGGCTTTTGATACTGAATTATTCAATAATAATATGCATCTTTTTACTTTGTAGACACCACTAACAATATTGTCCAAGATGGTAATGGAGAGAAGAAAGCAGAAAACTGTCAATTGCTGGAAAAACAAATTGATGGCATATCTGTACAACTGGCTCCCCCTGTTCCAGCTGCTATGGGAGATGATGAAATGTTACCCAACGACTTGGACTCTCTACCTGATGAGTTCAATTGTTTAAGTGAAGATGGCTTGGATCACAAAGCAGGCACCAATGCACTTGTTCAAGGGCCTCTAAATTACAGCGTGCCTGGAGATGACCAAAAACGAGCGATGGAGGCGGCTTCAGAATCTGTGCCAAATTCCTTTAAAATAACACCTATGATGCTGGAGGGAAACAATGCTGATATCAAAATTAAAGTGATGAAAGAGGTTCGCAAACCTGGAAGAAGTAAGTTCTTTGTTATATAACATATAATGTAATACAATATATATATGTAATACACTAAAAATGGGCAAGGGAGAGAGAAACTTCTTTTATGTCAGAAGCTATTTTGAAAATTCGTAGAACTTTAGATTTCAAATTGTTTCTGATAACTTGGATATGAGCAGAAGAGGAACGGGAAAGGAGGAAGGTCCTTAAATGGGAGGGCAGGTGAGTTGACAGCAGGGTGTGTGTGGATGAGTGCCAAGTGACCTTGCTTTCCCTTTAAGTTAGATTAACTGTTGTAAGAAGTATCTTATGAGGCAACTTCACAGGTTTTATTTTTGTAAGTGTTACCAATGATGTTATGAGACTTGATATTTCAGTAGTGGAAGGCTAACAGTCAGCAATGCCTATCTTGGACTTTCCCTTATATTGCAGTACTCCTTGTGTGTATATATATATATATATATATATATATATATATATATATA